AACACCAAGACAAGGGGGCCAGTCTATGGCAAACCCAGGAAAAGAATCCAGGCTCCAAGATCAATCCAAGACAGTTCCCACCATAGGAAGGCCCATAGGCACTTAGGACACAAAGAGGCTGTGGCCCGTTCCACCATTGGCTGTCCATGACCCTCTGGAACTGATATGGGCTTTGGATCCTTACCGGGCTTCGGTGGGTCCTGTAGCATGGGAAGTCGGACCTCTTTCCGGCTGCTACCCTTCCCAGGTCCACTTCTGCTGGACACCTGCAGTCGGCGGCCTCCTCCAACACAGAAGGGATCGGTCATTTCTGTGGAGCAAGTACACAGACCTACAAGGCTCAATGGGCTCTCGGCAGGGCTGCGCTAGAGCTTCCCCTTGACTGGCCCTCTTTGGCCAGCCAAGAGACTTGCCTTCCCAGGTCTGTCACATGGGAAAGCAAGTGCCAGAAGGCATGACCAAGGTAGAAGGACTCCTTCCCTCTGCCACAGACTCACTGTCTCAAGTGTGCTGAGGATCAGCATCCAGGGCATGTCCCCAGGGAAAAGTGGCCTGTGCAAGAGGAAGGAGACTGAGGACATTCCTCTTGGTGGCCAATCACGGCACCAGAAACCACTGCTGGCTCTCGCACTGCCAGATCCTGGAAGCTTGGGGACATCTTTCCCTCAGGGATTTCACCCTTCTCCCTCAAGACCCCACCTAGCAACATCCTACCTGGGCAGCCACCTGTGAATCCTCTTCCCCTGGCACATGAGACAACCAAGGTGGTACTGTAGGTCCCAAACCACTCCCCAACCCCATGAACTCCCTCTCTTTGATGAGCAGACTGCAGTCCTACCAACATCTTATTCCGTCCCATCCTACCTGGCACTTCTCTCAACCTTGTGCCCAGCAGAATCCCCTCCACCAAACAGGTGTCATGTTCAGCTGACCTCCTTGTCTCCTACCCTCTGCCACTTCCACCAGTAAGCCCACCTCAGCTGAGCAAGTCACAGCCAGCACTACCTACAAAGGCTCAGGCTTGAATCTACTAGGCCAGAGAATACCTTGCTATCCAAGGCTGGGCTCCGGAGCTTGTTCAGCTGGAAGGCCCCCAAGCCCTGAGAGCTGAGGAGCAGCCAGGAGCTCTGAGCTTATCCCTTTCACCGAGGTATCTAAAGCCACTAAAGGAGCTGGGGAGACAGTTCAGTGGCATAAGCGCCTGACTGGCATGCACAAGGTCCTGTGTTCGAGCCAAAGTAGGGGGGGGGGGGAGCCACTACAGACTAAGGGGGCGGGACCAGTGATAAGGCCTGAGCCTACTGAACCCTCCCACTGGTTTCAGATCAACTCAGTTCTTGGGGTATAGGAAGAGGCTGCCCTGTCCAGCAGGGCTGAGGTCAGAAGTCAGGGCAGTCCCTATCCACCCTTAAACGTGGAGAAACCCACATCCCACTCTTGGGGGTGGGAGAGCCTGAGGTCAGAGTCCTCAGGAAGTCCTCGCTGCACAATTCTGAAAGGTGACAGTGGCCATGAGTCACCCCAGGCCTTGATGACCCCAAGGTCTGGTGCAGGTGCTTGCTCAGCGCCCGTGCAGCAAAGAGGTGGGGGTCCGGGCTCGCGCGCCATCCTGTGAAGGGTTCCCCCGGCGGGGCAGGGCAGAGCCCTCGAGGAGGGGCGCCGCTGCGCGCGGGAATAGGGCCAGGTCCAGCCAGGTGAGGGCGGCCGGGCGCGCACCTGGGGCCGGTGGCCACCCACCTGTCACTGCGGGCGGCGCGGGCCTCGGCTGGCGCGGAGGCCGCCCGCGGCGGGGGTGGGGG